TACAAAAATATTTTTAAAATGTGCGCTCGGTAGGCGTCGGACAATTCATAAAATAATACTGTTTAAAAATCAAACGGTTTAGCTGCAAACTGCCGTGCCGTATAGCGTGAATAACCCTGTATAGGGTGTTCCATTGTTCCGGTATAACCGGAAGTGTGGCATCTTGGAAATATTTTAGATCGCTTGCCCCCAATGACTTCAGCACACTGTTTTTTGCTAATTATAGTTTGCCAGATATCGCTAGCGGCGTTTCCCGGTGGGACACCCTGCTGTATTATTGTCCATATTATGTCTATAAAAGATGAAATAAAATAGAAAATTTTTGAAGACAATTGGTAGAGCGAAGAAAACGATGTAAAGAAAATATGTTATTATTTGATGCAAAAAATGTAGACTTATTATTTTAGAATAGACATAGAAGCGTTTGTTTATCGAAATTTAAGGGACCGCCTCTACTGTTTTGACTTTAACCACTTTGAATTATAGTAAATCGCAGCATTAACATGCCTCTTAAGGTATACTATTAATTGTATGAAACGCAACTATAAAAAATACAGAGCTTAGCACGAACGATGATGAGTAACTTTACGTTCAATATGCAGAGACAAACTCTCTAGAGTGAAAATATCATCATATTGAATTTGCCCACCACTCTTTATAACAACTATTGATTAACACTTAAAGCTCATTAACATCAATTAGGTATAACTTGAACATATTAAATAGGCTGATCGATATCGAAGGTCCTGGCAGGTCCATATTCTCTCAACTTTGGAGTCGTACCAGACAGCGACCTCTTATTCAATTGGCTGTTTTCAGAGTTGTTGCGCACTCGCGGCCCTATCGGCACGTCGATCGGGTAAGTACCTCCGAATACCAGTGTTTTATAAACCACTTTCTCTGGCACCCGATCGCTCTTATGGAAAAAGCTGTTCTTGATGTTGTTAAACACGCCTTTCGAGTGCTTCCTCGCCCACACGTCTACCGCATTGGGCAGCGAATCCGCATTGAACCCTTCCGCAGAAATAGACACTTTGCTCTGTCGATCAACATATTTTACTGTGGTATTTTTAAACTCCGGAATGTCCAGGGACTTGAATTTGATTAGCTTGTGCCGAGACGTTTTTAAATCGAACGTGCTATAATTGTCACTGGAAGCCAACTTTACGCTGTCGTTCTTCAATAATAGCAGTTTCTCCTCCGACACTGACTTTCCTTTTCGACAGAACAGCACTTCGTTCTCGCTGTCCGAACTGTCCTTATACGACCCGAGGCCAGTGATATCGTTTAAAAGCGGCGGCGTGGACAAGCGGCACTTTTCTAGCTTAAGAGGTTGCATCTCTAACATTTCGTCATGCAGCAGCAAGTTGGAGGAAATGGAGAGTGAAGTAGGGTTGGGGCTATGCGAGTCCCGCTTCAGAACAGACCGTTTGCGCAAAGAAATGGCAGTAGATGGCAAGGCAAAGGCTGCACACTGTGTACTTGTGGTACTTACTTCGGCCGCCTCTTTCTCTACCTTCAGCTGCGTCCAATCAGCGCCACAGAAAACAAGTTAATTAAAATGAAACCATCATATATTAGCTGTAATATAGCAACGTCAACTGCAGCAAAATCTTTCTTTAAATAATAGTCAATTTTTCTGCATTTATGGGTAATACAAATGAGTTTTCCGGCTTTCCTTCAATATTCCAGCGTGAATTAAAAAAACTGGTAAATATTATTTTACATCAATTACAAATTGAAGTTACTTTATTACATTGCTTAATTATAACAATTAATACGTATCGAGCATCTGAACATGTGCTGTAATGGAATTCAATTTTCATCATTGTTCGAAATTTTATGAAGAAAAAATATCCCTAGTAAACCATATTAAAAACGGTCTACTTTGTGTTTTTAAAACAAACAACCGGCGTAAAGTAACAACCTCTTTTATTACGCTTCCAATTCGGTTCTTGTGGCAATTTAGCAAATGGTTGTAGTGGTTTTCTCGTGATTTTCTTAACTAGCCTTTATTTGATATTTGATACCATGATATAGTTGCGTCAGGTAAACAGATTTGTGTCTATTAAAATAAATATTATCGCAGTCTATAAATTAATATCTGGCATATTCGTAGCTAGGATTTTTCGCCATTAAATGATGATTTTTAACTAAAAATAATCGATCAAGATTAAATCAGTTGTGATCAAATGTCGCGGAATTACTCAGTAAAATTAAGTACATATTTATACTTCAACTTACCTCAGCCTTATTATTAGAAGTTGCAAAGAATGACAATTGATCCGGTTGGGTTACTTGATCGCTATGGTTCGTCTCCTGTCCATATGCAGCTGTTGGGTCCACCCAGGCCTGCGCGGCCTGACCGGCCCAGAATTTTGATTGATCTTGATAAGGATGTTGTACTGGAAAGCAAATAATTCAAATCATATTATAATTAAGAATATAGTGATTTACCATTCTGCAACTGTTGCTTATCGTGCACTTGATACCCTTGGTTGGAATGGGACTGTAATTCAGTTGACCAAACTGATGACTCTTTATAATGTCGCTGCTGCTGATCAAATTGCTGCTGCTGCTGTTGATCGTATTGCTGTTGCTCCTGCTGCCAAACATCATGACTTTGATCAAAGTTTGGCTGTTCTAACGGGTGCTGAGTTAAATGGAAATCCGGATGTTCGTCTTCCTTTGGCTTTGAAGGCTAACAAGATTTCGAAGAGTATAGTGGAAAGTGCTCAGAAAACAGAGTAATTTTCTGAATACTGGGTGGTTTTTTTTTAACTTAAAAATATTTCGAAAATTAGTGACCCTATGACAAAATGTGCCAAATAAAAAGTTTACATCTGAGAGGAAAAACGCCTACTTCAATCTTGTAGGCTAGGCAGGGGCTAGCTTCATAATTTCAAATAGTAATAGTTAGAGGGCGGAAAATATGCAAAGTGCATATCTATGCATTTTTTGCATATTTTATCCAATTTCATGAAAAATTGCATATATCTAAAAAATCTGTATATNNGTGCATGTTTGAAGATTTTTCTTTTCATCTTAATGAAATATTATCGAAATTCCATAGGCGGGTGTAAAGTAGGCACTAAATTTATAAGTTTACCTGCCTTTTTTTGCATATCATTTATTCACTACCCTGGAATGTCTCGAGTTGAAAAGCCCTAAAACGTCTCAAATCGGCCAAATATTACGTTTTTGAAGCGTCAATAA